ACGTTACAGTTGATATTTATCCTATATCTTTGTCAAACGTTTTTGAAAATGTATATTGCTACTCACAGGGAGCCATTGTGAACCCGCACTTACACACCAGCCCAAGCCACATCAGGAGGAAAACAGCAGTGAAGGAACAAGTGATGAAACTGAGAAAAAGGGAGAACAAATACTCAGAGAATGACAAGGAGGTATGAGAAGAACTCAACAAGAGATTCAGGAGGTCTTCACAAAAGAAAAAGGAGAAGCCCCTGCACTAAATGAGGAGGAGGCAAATCAAGCAAACTTGGAGGAATTAAACGTCACCAGTGATGAGGTCAAAAGGAATCTGTTGGAGCTGAAAGTGACAAAGGCTGTTGGGCCTGACAGAATCTCACCATGGATACTAAAGGAAGATGCAGAGGCACTAAGTGTGCCACTCTCTATGGTGTATAAGACGTCACTGGAAACAGGAGACCTACCGGAAAGTTGGAATACAGCTAACTTAGTCCCAATATATAAAAAGGGTGACAGGCAAGAGGCACTGAACTACAGGCCAGTTTCCCTAACTTGTATAACATGCAAGGTGATGGAGAAGATCGTGGGAAAAAGGCTCGTAGATCATCTGGAGTGAAATAGCTTTGTAACACACCACCAACATGGGTTCAGAGATGGTAAATCGAGCCTCACAGGTTTAATATAATTCTATGACCAGGCAACAAAAATTAGGCAAGAAAGAGAAGGGTGAGTAGACTGCATTTTCTTGGACTGTCAGAAAGCCTTTGACACAGTACCTCATAAAAGCTGTTAAAAAAGTTGGAGCAACAGGCAGGAGTAAAAGGGATGGTGCTACAGTGAATAAGGGAGTATTTAAGAAACAGGAACCAGCGAGTAACTGTGAGGGGGAGACATCAGAGTGGCGAGATGTCACCAGTGGAGTCTCACAGGGCTCAATACTTAGACCCATCCAGTTTCTATTACATGTAAATGATCTTCCGAAGGGTATAGGCTCATTCCTCTCAATGTTTGCTGATGATGCAAAAATTATGAGAAGAATCAAGACAGATGAAGATAGACAGAGACTTCAGGATGACCTGGACAAATTGGAGGAATGATCTAGAAAATGGCTGCTAAAGTTCAACTCAGGAAAGTGTAAAGTAATGAAATTAGGCGAAGGGTTTTGAAGGCTGAACACAAGGTACCATCTGTGAGGTGAAATCCTGCAAGAGTCAAATAGAGAGGCAGATCTGGGGGTTGATATCACACCGAACTTGGCCCCAGAGGCTTACATCAAAAGGATATCATTTAGCGTCATGTGCTAGGTTGGCCAACATAAGAACTGCCTATAGAAACTTGTGTAAGGAATCGTTCAGGACCCTGTATACCACTTACGTCAGACCAATCCTGGAATATGCAGCTCCAGCCTGGAGTCCATACCAAGTTAAACACAAGACAAAGTTAGAGAAGATTCGGCGGTATATATATGCCACCAGACTCGTCCTGGACCTGAGAGGTATGAGCCACGAGGAAAGGCTAAAGGAGCTGTACCTCACATCCCTGGAGAACGGAAGAGTAAGGAGACATGATAACCACCTACAAAATTCTCAGGGTGGACAAAGACAAACTCTTCAGCACAGGTGGAACATGAACAAGGGAACACAGGTGGAAACTTAGTACCCAGATGAGCCACAGAGACGTTAGAAAGATTTTTTTTTCAGTGTCAGATTAGCTAACAAATGGAATGCACTAGGAAGTGATGTGGTGGAGGCTGACTCCATAACACCAGTTGATCGACAGTTGAGAGGCGAGACCAAAGCTCACTCCCCGCAAGCACAACTAGATGAGTACATGGGCTGGACGGTAAAGTGACGGACTCGGTAAGGACTCAATGCTGAGTCCTTACCGGACATCACTCTGTTTAAAGGAGGACTCAATGCTGAGTCCTTACCGAGCGAAGCAGAGCTACATCCACTAAGGAATTTCCAAGCAATATATTAATAGGAACAATTTATTTAAGGTACGATCTATGACTCTAAACCATAACATAATTCATGAATATAGTTGTACCAGCGATGTCATGGAAGCCTCCGTGGACCCCCACAGTGTCTGTCATTGTCCTGGTTGATGTTACAATATTTACACCTCATCCTGGTGGGTGTCACAATATTTACACCTCATCCTGGTGGGTGTCACAATATTTACACCTCATCCTGGCGGGTGTCACAATATTTACACCTCATCCTGGCAGGTGTCACAATATTTACACCTCATCCTGGTGGGTGTCACAATATTTACACCTCATCCTGGCGGGTGTCACAATATTTACACCTCATCCTGGCAGGTGTCACAATATTTACACCTCATCCTGGTGGGTGTCACAATATTTACACCTCATCCTGGCGGGTGTCACAATATTTACACCTCATCCTGGTGGGTGTCACAATATTTACACCTCATCCTGTCACAATATTTACACCTCATCCTGGCGGGTGTCACAATATTTACACCTCATCCTGGTGGGTGTCACAATATTTACACCTCATCCTGGCGGGTGTCACAATATTTACACCTCATCCTGGCAGGTGTCACAATATTTACACCTCATCCTGTCACAATATTTACACCTCATCCTGCTGGGTGTCACAATATTTACACCTCATCCTGGTGGGTGTCACAATATTTACACCTCATCCTGGTGGGTGTCACAATATTTACACCTCATCCTGCTGGGTGTCACAATATTTACACCTCATCCTGCTGGGTGTCACAATATTTACACCTCATCCTGCTGGGTGTCACAATATTTACACCTCATCCAGCTGGGTGTCACAATATTTACACCTCATCCTTCCGGATAATTGTAATTGTTAGAATTGTAAATGTTTGACCACGTCTGTGGTAGAAAATAATAATAATAATAATAATAATAATAATAATAATAATAATAATAATAATAATAATAATAATAATAATAATAATAATAACTGCCTGTCACCATGTGAGCACGCGACGTTTTCTTGATTACTCACCCTTGCCAATCTCTTAGTTCTGGGAAGGGAGAGCTCTCTTAACGGTTCCACTCTCTTCATTCTGTTTCTAATCTAAAGTAAACTAAAGCATGACTGACATAACTACATATCTGCCTACCTACTCTCAATCACTTTAAAGGGAGCATAAACAATCAGGAGGAACAGCAAGTAGATGTGGAAAGGGGAGCGGGGCCACAGAGGATGGAAGAATGGAGTAGGAAATACGAGAGATATGCCAGTTTGAGGATTCAAGACAATTTGAAACTTTACCTGTGAAAATGTTCTTCAGGAAGTGAAAGTAGACATGGCCATTATAAAGGAAACAATAACCATTCTTTAGAAAGAGCTAAGATCAACTAAAGAAGAATGAATAAGATTGAAGGAAAACCTTCCCATATCAAAAGTGGAGTAAATGAGAATAGTGCAGTGAGCAGCCATGTGGCGTAAGGACCTGAAAAAGGAAATTTCCCTTTTGCAGAGGTTCTGAAAAGGACTAAAATGTTGGGAGATTTTTGCAGGAAGTAGCAATGGAGGTAGCAACTTCCCAGGTAGCTTCAAAGAAAATCAGCCAGCTGCTACAAAGGAAAAAAAAATAAAAAATTGAAATGTTTATTCCGGTAAAGTACATACATACAAGAGGTAATACAAAAATTGATAGATTTATAGATAGAGCTAGTACATACAATGCCTAAAGTCAATATTACGCAAAGCGTTTCGGGCAGGAAAAACATAAAAGACTAAAACTTGATACTAATTGAGATTAAAGTATAAAATATGTTGAGAAAACTTATATATAAAAAAAGGGGGGAACATGACAGAAAAACAGCAAAAATACAATAAGGTCGACAAACAGCATTGTTTAAAAATAACAGACATGGGTTGACAATATAGGGGTAAGGTAGGTTACAGGGAGTTAATTAGGTAGTGCTTAGTTTTTATCTTAAACTGGTTGAGAGAGGCAAAGTCTTTAACATGGTTGGGAAGGTCATTCCTCATTCTGGGTCCCTTGATTTGTAGAGCATTTCTAGTTTTATTAAGTCGTACTTCTGGAATATCAAAAAGGTATTTGTTTCTGGTGTGGTGGACATGGGTTCTGTTACAACCTTCAATGAAGCTTTTAAGGTCAGGATTGGCATTACAGTTCAGCGTTTTATATATATATATAATACACATGAGAGGATGTGCAGTGACTTAATATCTAACATATTCAGAGATTTGAGTAGGGGTACCGAGTGAAGTCTGGGGCCAGAGTTGGATATTGTCCTAATAGCAGCTTTGTGTTGAGTAAATAGAGGACGTAAATGATTTTGGGTAGTAGAACCCCAAGCACAAATACCATAGTTGAGATATGGATAGATGAGGGGAAAGGGCAGTTGTAGTGGAAGGACTGAAGGGGGCAGAAGTGAGATGAAAAAGATGAAATGAAAGGGATGGACAAAGCTTCTGTGAAAGGAATCCTGGCAGAGTGTAGAAGAAATCAACACAGTAAAGGTTTTCAGGCTAGGCCCATACAAGAGGAGGAAAATCGACTGGTAAAGATAATATTCACAAACAAGTCAATATGAGAGAAAATTCTAGAGCAGAAGTGCTGACTCATGCATATGACTACAAAGAAGTATTTATCCAGAGGTTATAAGGCAAAGAAAAGAGAACATTAGCTGCAGAAAAAAGAAAGAGGTGCAGAGAAGGGAAAAGGAAAGAATCAACTTTTTCTCTTTATAACACATCACAAATTTAATGTATACTTTACTTGAGGCCAAAAACTATAGTACAAAGAAATGGTAGCATCTCACGAAAATTATAAAATGTCCCGTTTTCTGTTCGTGGGTCCTCTGGTTGGTTAGGTTAGTGGATTTTAGGGCAAACGTTTCTTGATATTGGGAACGTCCCTGAGAATGGCCTGAAAGGAGAGCCCAGGTCCTCCAGTTCAATAAACCGAGGACCAACCACAACAGCAGCATAAATCATCGACCTCCCCATTCTTTCCTACCCCTCTCATACATCATACTCAAGTATTCTATTTACTTTGTAATAGACATTGATACACAAGGTATCAGGTCATTTCTTATCATGACCATGACCATGACCATATCATGCTCACACACTACCTGTGTACTGTCACTTCCCAAAGTTTATGACTTTGCACTTATGAGCACTGAGCTGAATCTGCCACTTTTCCACAGGATTATGTAATGAGCTGAGGCATTATATGTAGATAATCTGTAGAAAGATCTACAATCATTCAAGTTTGCTATTTGCCGCACTTTCGTGTTATCCACAAAATCAACTGATATATCAGTTTAACCCAGCAGCTTTGTCATTGACAATTATTATGAACAACAAAGGCCCCAAAGCAGACCAATGGGACACCTCACTAGTAATATTATTCCTCTCCACCTTCACCCAGTTTTTGCTAACTTCTTCAAATGGGCTCAAAATTCGATGAAAATGTCCTCACTTGAATATTGTGATCCTTAACCTTCCAGATAAACAACGTGTATAGTACAACATCATAATTGTTATTGATAACTATTACCTTGAATGACTGAAGAAAAAAACAGCTTTATCAGACAGGTTTGGCCTCCTAAGAAGCCAAGTTAAGAGTTCTTTATAAAACAATATGTGTTAAAAATGTTGTCTTGGATACCTGATCAACCAGGCTGTGACTCGTACGTCAGGCTGCGAGCAGCCGCGTCCAACAGCCTTGTTGATCAGTCCGGCAACCAGGAGGCCTGGTCGACGACCGGGCCGCGGGGACGCTAAGCCCCGGAAGCACCTCAAGGTAACCTCAAGGTTGTTGTATTTGATATTACAGCCTGTTACGGCCAGCTTGAGCCATTAACTTGATTCTTTCTGTTAATGTGTCTTATAACCTCTTCTTGATCCTACCCCAAGCTGATGGTAAGTTTTCAAGAATTGGCAGTAGCAAGTAACAGTGCAAGGAATAAAGGGGGGAGCAACAATATGCAATTACATCTTCACCAATATATTATCACCTTCACGAATATATATATATATATTATATATCTATGTATAACTACACATATTTACACTGTGTCGCTTTCACTCAGGACACTCAATAGATTCGCAGTGATCATCAAGCCCCGGTGAGTCCACTATCTTCACATATACGTCGTCCACGCACAATGGCAATCACTGGTGAGTTCACCCTCGACATGGGCCAGTCCACACATCATATTGTCACGATGTCCCAGTACCCCACATCCGCTCTCCAGAAACACACTGGCAGAGGGTTCAGCCACAAGCTGACAGGTGTCTTAAATAATCACAAACAGGAGTAGCTAACACCCTGGCAGAAGTTTCTAGCAACACACAAGCAGCACTTCTCTACAGACGCACTACTGTCATCTCGTAACTCTTCTTGGGCAAAGCCTGGGTACGTCGGTTTATAGAACACTGCATAAATTCAGCAGCTAACACACTGAATATTTACACAGTGTAAATATTTACACTGCTACTGCCGACGGTGGCCACTTTGTACACTTACAGGACCAAGTGAAGAGTTGTAAACTGCCCAAGGCGTAATGCCCTCCTCAGCGCAATCGCCCCCTTATGTCACCTCTGTGAACATAAACATCATTAGCTAGACAGTCAATATATTGGGTGATCTTAGGATAACACCCTTCCACCGGGGAACTGATAATGTAATTGCTTTCACAACTTAGATGGCATTGATCGACCTCACCTCCTAACCGAGGTATGAAACGAGCCTTACACCGACGCCACACCACCGCCAACAGATGGTGTTGTCTGTGTCGCACCTAATAGTTGGAGTGCAGGTCCATAGATGGCGCCGAAATCGCCACTTCACACTCCAGCGAAGGTGCTGACGCCGTAACATAGCCTCAATAAACTTTACAACTATTCCCATAAGGCTGATCAGATGGTAGTTCATGGCAAGGGATCTGTCACCCCAATTGTATATCAGGAGCAACTTAACCACTTCCTGGTAGTAGGTATTATTTCTGTTCTCATTAATTTAGTATACCTATAAGTGAGATCATAAGGGCCTTCTGTCCACTCCTTCATAACTACTGATCAACTCATGTGGGACTACCATTTTTTTTACAAAAACACTAGGCTAAGCATATACCATATATCTGGGTTGACATGTATTCGTTTCCATATGCTTTGTTTTATTCGTGACAATGGTCTGTTAAAGCTGGAAAGAGCTTTTGGTATTTGACTCGAATTTTCAGGCTACCGCTTGTTTCAAAAGTATTTTCTTGCCTTTCTTATTTTCCATTTAACACCACATTTTAATGTTTCATTGACTTATTACACGAATCTTCTTTAGTCCAATGACGGTTTTATCTGGTAAAATTATTTGAGATCGTTATTATCCCAATGAAGTAGTTTCTAAGAAATATTTGTTTTATGAGCATATTTAACTGTTTAGTGAAGATACTTGTGGTCTTTGTACATTGTGGTCAGAACAACTCAGGTCCGTTCCTCTTCAGAGATACAGTCCTCATCACTGGCCCAATTCTTCCAGTCTACTAAAGTTAGATAGACTCTCACTTGGTCATGGTTTTCATTCTGTAAATCTGGGACTCTGATATTGTTGCTAATTCAAGCACCACTTTCCCCCAAAGATGGCCATATCCTACCTCGCTCCGAAAGTCTATATTTCAGTGTTTCCTTGTTTCCATCACAAAGGTCAGGATCAGTGTCATCTTTGGTGGGCTTATGTATACGTTAAGTAGAGAAGCATCCTTCAGCTTCTTTCAGAAACTTCGGTACTATCGGATTTTTGTTTTTTGAGTGTATCCGAGGAACTTTGGAACGTCACTAAATACTTCTTCCTAGGAGGCCGAGTTCACTTTAACTCTGCAGCATAGTCGCTAATAAATTACGT